GGCACTTTTCTAGGGGTGCTAGGGGCCCGCACGTTGATGCAGGGCCATTGGGTGGCCCTTGCACTTAGGGCCACCCATTCCTAATGTCTCCTTAGAGGCTCAGTCAGCGCTGCAGTGCTTTAATAGCGTGACTGGGCCCCTTTGATGATGCCAGAGCTGGGAGGAAGTGGTACAGAAGAATCAATTTCCTGTACCCTGCCGGACTGATAGGAAGTGCTCAGTAAGCACTTCCTTTCAGTCTGGCAGGGTACAGGAAACAGAAGCTCTTGTACTGCAGACCGGAGCGGAGCTCAGAAACGCTACACTAGTGACTAGAGGTAGGAGGCACCCGAGGGAGGGGGAAGAAATGACCACCTGGTCGGGGGAGAGAGGGAAGGAGAGACCACCTGGGGAGGCGGGGAGAGAGGAGAGACCACCAAAGGGGGAGAGGAGAGACCACTAATGGGGTGGGGAGAGCAGAGACCACTAAGGGGCAGGGGAGAGCTCTAAGGGACAGGAAGAAGAGCTCTAAAGCAGTGTTTCCCAACCCAGTCCTCAAGGCACACCTACCAGTCCAGGATTTAGGGATTACCCAGTTGTGTCTAAGGTGTTTTTACAAAGAAGAAAAAAAACACCTTAGACACAACTGGGTAATCCCTAAATCCTGGACTGGTAGGTGTGCCCTGAGGACTGGGTTGGGAAACACTGCTCTAAAGGACAGGGGGTAGGAGAGAGCAATAAGGAGGGGAGAGCTCTAAGGGACAGGGGGAGGAGACCATCAAGGGATGTGTGGGAGTAAAATAGATAATTAAGGGACAGGGGTGTGGAAGACACACAGAGAGGCTAAGGAAGGGGGGAAAGAGAAGCACAAAAGGGCTGGTAGGGGAGAAAGAAACACACAGAGGGGCTCGGGAGGGAGACACACAAAGGGGTTGGGAGGATGTAGGAGACATACAAAGAGGGGGGATAAGAGACAAACAAGGGGCTTGCAAGAGATACACTACAGAGGATGTAAGACGCAAAACATTAAAAATATATTTATTTTTTCTGTTCCCTTCTCTGCCCCTATCCTACCTAACAAACTCTCTCTTTCACAATACACACACACTGCATCACCTACACAAACTGGTATCCCTATACTCTACATTTCATAAGCACACACATTAGATCCTCTATGGATGGGCCTCACGGACATACTCACCATCAGGCAGTGGGGGCGCAGACCTTGAGCTGTGTAAGGGACCCCCAAAAATGGAGCTGCTTCCCGTTCCCCCAGAACATTGATTTGTGTGACTACAGTTACAAACAGCCTCCAGAGAGTCTGTTCTACACCAGACC